CTCACGGGGATGAAAAAACAATGAGGTGGATAAAGCCGGAACACCTTGGAGCTCATCGGGAAAAAAAGCACCTCATGTGCAAACACAGGGTTTGCTATTGCTGTTACTCTGCTCAAGGAACACACTTGTTTGTGGGCTTCCTAGACCTGCTGCACAAGCCTGCTTCCCTTTGGAAAGAAATCTTTGAAGCCAGTTGGCACCTACCTGCAGTGGGCAATATGCACGTGCGGTTTACCCTGGAGTGCCTTCGGGACAACTGGGTTTGCTGGTGCTGGTGTGTGCATGTGGGAGTGTGTGCGCGCGCATCTGTGTATTCTGGTACATGGTCAGGGGGCCATGTCCACAACTTGCCATATCTGGGTATTTGTGCCCATCATCCTGAGAACTGGACTGATGTTCTGATAGCAAAAGCTTTTATCACAGAAGCTCATCCACAAATTATAGCCCCGAGAAGCCACTAATAGCATCCAGTAGATGTTTCCAAAAACATTCCCAGTGTATATGTATTTATAGCAGAAAAATACAGGAAGGAAACACACTAATATGTTGATTATGGTTATTGTTGGATAGTGGGATTTCAGGTAATTCAACATATTTCTTTTTATAGCTTTGTGTTTTTTTGGAGAATGATCATGCAATATGTATAATCAAAAAATAAAGGTTGGTTTTTTTGTTTTTTTGGTTTTTTTACTACAAATGGGAAGAAGAAGGCAGGAGGAAGTGGTGCTACCAGGTGCCAGAGGCTGGGGCAGCCTGGGTACAGCTGGGTTTAGACAACCCTGTCGGGGGCGGGGGGGGGGGGGCAAGCCAGGGTCACAAAGAGTGGGGCTGTGGGGGGGCTGGAAACACTGCCGGAGGTGCCACCTGAGACAGAAAGTGCACAGAACACCCAAGTCTCTGCCTTCCTCCCACCATCTAATCTCTTGCCCCTACTACCTCTCACTGGCTGAGCCTGACTATGTGGAGCAGAGCCTGAGAAGGGCAAGGAATAGGTCTGAGAGCAAACACGGAAATGACCGGCACCAGCATGTTTCATAATTATTTTCCATTTTGTCTTCGGACATTTGGAAGGGAGGGACAGGCCCACACAATCCTACGATGCTCCTGGCACCATGGCACCAAAAGAGAATGCATTTTTAAAGCATGTGAAAACCACCAAGCCGGATTGCATAAAATCATTTTTTATGGAAAGGCCCTAAGGCATCACACCCAGAGGTGGGAGGAAGGGGAGCAGTTCACAAAATGAGCTCTATTGCTCATTGGAAATATTTTATACACAGGCTTAGATATTTAGACCTATTCATAACATTTATAAACACAGAATTCTTGTGGATAAGATTTCATCACTTATTTGCCAGCGGACGGAGATAGTTACACAAGGCGAGGTTTTCTAGGTAGGACATCACTTTCTTCATTTTCTTTGTACTTTGTATCACCGGGCAGTGCTCTGAAACACGCAGACCCCATTACAACAATAACGATCCACTTGACAGGAGGAGACCGTCAAATGCTCACCAAACCAACTCAGAAAATAACGGACTTTGTGGTCTGTAATGGTTCTGAAAGAGGGCCCTAATCTAGTTCTCCAGGACCCAGTCATGCACGTCACTTTCTAAAACAACATCAGATTCTCTCGTGTTTTATGAAATTCTCTGTAAGTGTGAGTGAACCAGGTTTCAGTTTTAATTCTCTTTATACACATCGTTCCTTCATTTATGAGAATTTCTTAAACTGTAGCCTTTGCTAAAAGCCAGTCCACAAACACAATAAAAATTTTCATTAAAATATTTAAAACCCAGAACAGCAGCAATAACATCAAAACGAAATGCTAGCAGCCTACAAGAGCAAATCTCAAGAGGCCCTTCTACCATGCAGCATTGTGGAAAGAGGTGGGGTTTCACATTTTGTCCTAAATGTTATTAAGCCCAGCCTCTTGAAGGGACATGGTAAGAAGAGCTATCCAAAATCTTGGCCTGTCTAAAGAAAATGTGTGAAAACCTTCTGTTCTCTCCCTCTATTTTCTTCATAATAGATAGTTGGATACATAGAGAGATAGGTGCTAGAAAGATAGATAGATACATAGATAAAGAGACAGATAATATTACTACATGGGCTCGAGCCTGCTATGAACCTGCTTAACAGGGTACAATGCCCTAATCATGGAGACTTAAACAGGGTCAGCAACCATTGATACCCTAGGAAGGATAGAGGGTCAACTTAGCACCAACAGATAAAACACCTGGGTATGCTGCCTATATACATTGCTAATGAACAACTCCATTAAAATGAGAATTAAGTGTCTGCTATACAACAGACATAATTACGTTTCCCAAACCAAACCCAGCAAACCTGGAAAACTGATACACAGAGTAGGATATTTAAATGAAGACTGCTCTGGGAACCACTGGCTTAAGGACTGTAGGGACAGGCCCACAGAGCGAGCCCATGAGTCATGAGGACGTGGCTCACTTCCAGGGTTCTGCCTATAAGACCCTGCTCCCACGGGCCCTTTTCCTGAGAATTCTGGAATTGTCTGTAATCCCGTTAACAGGAGCAGGTTTCCACAACTTGCCATAAAAACCTCAAATGGCAAACACACCTGGGAAAGGTAAAACTGTTAACTTGATTTCACACAAAGTCTAAATAGCTGCTTTCTTGAGGGTGTTTTGATGTGAGGGTGAAGGCTGAGCGATAACAGGGAGGAGGTATAAGACACAGATCCTGAAGAGGAGGCATCCTGCAGAAGAGGAAAATAAGGCAAAAAGGATGTCTGAAATAAAATTCCCTTCTGCCATGGGTTTAGCTCAGGGAAGCACTCTGCTTGCTTCACTTTCACGTTCACTGACAGGCTATAGACTTTGGAGCAACTGTCCAAATGACCCCACCCCAATTCAGTGTACGCCTAACGTCAATCTCTTGTTGGTGGCCAGAAGCAGATTCCAGAGCCTGGTGCCATAAGTTCCCGGTGATACTGCAGCCAGAGAGCGAGCATCACCAGCATGAAACATTGAGGGCTGCTAAGGAAAAGAGCAAAGGGACTCACATTCCTTCAGACTATTTGTTGGTCTTGTAAAAAACAAACAAACAAAACAAAACAAAATATTTTTCCTCCTTTGTTTTCGGGGTTGGTGATCCCAGCTCTACAACGTACTTGTTAGCTGTGTTGCAGGAGAGTTCCTGCTTGCCCTTCACAATCGGCTATCAGTTAATCCACGCAGCAATCCCGTAAGGTGGATGCTAAAATTGCACTTCACAGGATCAGTTCCATGACTTGCCCAAGATCACAGAGCTCATTGCAGGTAACATTATTTGAGCCCAAATCTGCCTTCCTTTGAGCAAACATTCTCAGGGCATAAATTATCTGTTTTTCAACATACTAAAAAATAGTTTTGTTGACACCAAATATTCCATAAACAAACATATTAATTCACAATATGTTTTTACATTGCTATTTCCCTCCTCTGATCCTGTGGGATTCCTCTTTCACTTTTTATCCCTCCCCGCTATTTCAACTTCCTTCTCTCCACTTCTGCCCTTTTCTTTCTTACCTCTTCCTGATATTTCTTTCCTTTATTTACATGGCTGAATGTTCTCAAAGCAGAGATAATTAAGCTAGTAAGTTTGACTTGACGAACAACTTCAAAACCTTTCTCAACCATGATTCCTCATCTGAATCATAGAACACAGAATGATTATTTTCCCAAGTCTCCTTAAAATGGTACACAGATAGTATTATTCTAAATGTAGAAGTGACAAGTTTATCCATTACATAAGTAGGTGCTTAAATCTGTCCTAGAACCTTTACTCAGAAAAGGATACCTTTTTACCTAGACAATTAGTAGCAAATTAGTGGAAAATAGTGGTTTTTGCCATTTATATAGACATAATTTAGGGATAGTAAGAAGTCAAACTCACATTTAAAAAGTAATATGCAACTCTGATAAAAAAAAAATAAGAGAAAATGAAAGCAGGTGTTAGATTTAGCAATAAACCCAAATGGTAAGGGAATTTAGTCAGTTTTATAAACTAATTTTTGTAACATATACATACCACCTGTGCAGTTGTTTAATATTTTCTTTAAATATCTTCATTTTTTTCTACCTCAATTTATTTAAAAGATACCTTATATCATTACCAAAAGTGGAAAACCAGTATAAGTTATACCAAAGACCAAACAATGTTATATTAAACAATGTTACAATAAATTCTCTCTACATGCTAGTGGAAAGGCTGAGGCTCACTGTTTTTGTTTCAAAGGTAGTGGTGTTAAAGTCATGCCAGTACCCAGCTAAGCCTGACTTCTTTCTATAATCCAAAAAATGGAAGGAGAATTGGGAAAAGAATAACTTTCTATGTGATTCCACTTTAGGAAATGTAGGGCTCCAGCCCCATCTAAAATCATTTTGACCATCACAATGCTACTCATCTCACTCTGGAAAATCCTGTATTAAGAAAACCAATCAACCAATGCTTACTGAGCCCAGTGATTTTCATTGCACTATACTTGGAATTACAAAGTCTCTTTGGATGAAGAGCTGATATTCTAATTTTGGAAGACCTACTCCACTACAATATGGCAGATGCTCAAAGTCAATTCCATCTGGCTCTTTAGGAGATACATAAAACCTTGCTACATGTAACTCGTTTCAAGACCCGAGGACCCCAGAAAAAAAAAAGTGGTTGCCGAAACAAAATCCAGCTCCACAATAAAACTTCCAAGTCCAAATGTTAAGGAAGCGGTTCCAAAGCAAGGGCTGCAACAGCCCACAGGTCAAATTTGAAGATTAAGTTCATGTCAGTAGTCTTTGATGACATGGATCATTTGCATGAATCTCATTATTAGCCAAAAGTCTGAAATAAAATTATCTCATGCCATAGCTTAGCGCAGGGAAGTATTTTCTACTTCCCCATTCCTTTTTATTACTCAGAGATGACACATATTAGAATAAAGAGAAACAAGAAAATTCCAACAAACAAAATTAAAGTAAAATGTACTCTTCTTCCTCACAATTATTCCTATAATAACTAACACAAACACAGGGATCACTATATTTCAGCGATTGTCATGATGACAAAGTAATGCCAGACAGCTGCATATGATGTTTTTCAATGTTTTTGTTAAAATATTTTAAACATTGTTTGGATGCTCATCTTATTCTAGCTGGCTAGAAATGAATTTCAGTTCACTTCATGTTACAATGTCTCCAAGGCCAAAGAGCCTCAGGCTTCTTTAGGTCCCCCATCTAACAGGGTCCACATGCATAAAATAAGGAAAGCAAGTTTTACAGCTTGGGGGTTTGGAGCTCTGGATCTCACTTCCACAGTGATTGAAAAATTCCCAACTTGATTAACTTTCAGAGCCCATAAAGTACTTTGAGCTCCTCCAAGAAAGACGCTATATAAATACAAAGTATTATTATTCAGTGGCACTGGAATTTATTAACAGCTTAGTTACTCCATCAGTCTCTTGGCATTAGTTCCTGTTCTGGCTTGCACAAATCCACCTGTAGGAATAAATCAAAATTCAGTACAACAATTCAAAATGCCACCCTCCCTCAGATAATAAAGAAAGCAGAGATAGCCCCATCAGCCAGAAATAATCTGGCCCTGTCCCAGCCTCTTGACCCAACTACCCAGAAGTAAAGTCATGCTAAGCCATTCTAGGGTGGGCCATTCCCAGTTACTCTGTGTCTTTCAGGTGGTACATTTGGTGAGCTATCACAGTTACTCTGTTGTATCTACTGCAAAAATGAAGGCAACCAAAGTACTCTTTATTTCCTATCTTGTTGTGTCCTCACCCAATAGTTTAGCTAAACTTTCATGGCCCATTCTTTTCCTTACATTTTTAAAAAATGTTTTTATGTATTTTTGAGAGAGAGAGAGAGAGCACACAAGTGGCAGGAGGGAGCAGGTGGGCAGAGCAGGATGGAGACACAGAATGCAAAGCAGGCTCCAGGTTCTGAGCTGTTGGCACAGCTCATGAGCCACGAGATCATGACCTGAGCTGAATCCGGATGCTTAACAGACTGAGATGCCCAGGTGCCCCATGGCCCACTCTTTTCTCATAGACAGCTCTGGATATAATGATTTGTGTAACTTTAGCATCAACTATCAAACATCATATTTTATTTGCTAATTAAGCAAGAGATATTTATTGATTTTCTAGAATAAAGAAAAACTCATCTATGCACACTCCCACGGGTAAGGTATTGTGCTGTGTATTGTACTGGACAGAAAGGAGCATGGAATAGAAGACACGTCCAAAGGTCTGAGGGTTCAGCTAAAGAAGTGAGACGTATGCACCCTGAAAGATGATTAACAATAGAAAGCAGGTGGGGTTTTCTTGTTGCATGAATTAAATCAGACATAATATTAACTGCACGTGAGTTTCTCAGCAGGAGTTCAGAGGAATAAGTGAAAAAGAGCAATGCATCACCAAAGTCCAGCTGGGACTCAACGGGTGGTCCTTAACACCAGGTTCCCATTAAAATCACCTGGAGATCTTTAAAATAATACTGATGCCTGGGCTCCACCCCAAACCAATTACATTAGAATCTCTGGAAGGAGAGCCCAGGCATAGGATTTTTAAAAGCTCTCTAGGTAATTCTAATATGTAGCCAAGATTGAGAAAGACTGGGCAAGACTTTGAAGGATTCAACTGGGCAGAAAAGCAGGAGGGACAACATAAATGGGAGGGAAAGCTTTCCAGGGAACTGAGAAGGTGCATTTGGGGAACCGTGAGGCAAGCCAGGGCAGATGGCAAAGGATTCTGATAAAGGAGCAGTGAGGAATAGCATGAGGGAGAAGGTCTGGGTTGATGTATGGAAGGATTTAAGGTCCAGAAACATAAGCTTGCATGGTCATTTCTTCCTTGGCCATAGTCATTCTGGGCCTAATCTCAGCTCCAGATGTTAGGCTTTATAATATTTAAAAAAACTTTTTGAAACAGTTTATTTATGTTTTTATTTATTTTTGAGAGAGAGAGGGTGCTGGTGAGCAAGGGGCAGGGAGAGACGGAGAGACATAACCCCAGGCAGGCTCTGTACTGTCAGAGTGGAGACCATAGTGGGGCTGGAGCCCACGGATGTGGGGCTTGATCTCACAAACCATGAGATCACGACCCGAGTCAAAGTCAGATGCTTAACCAACTGAACACCCAGATGCCCCGCCCCCAATTTTTAAAAAATTTAAAATGCTATCCTATCAGAGCTCCCAGGTGGTTCAATCGGTTGGGTGTTTGGCTCTTGATTTCAGCTCAGGTCATGATCCCAGGGCTGTGAGATCTAGTTGTGAGTCAGACTCCATGCTGAGCATGGAGCCTGCTTGAGATTCTCTCTCTCTCCTTCTGGCCCTTTCTCCTGCTCATGTTCTCAATGCCTCTCTTAAAAGATTAAAATAAAAAACATAAATAAATAAAACAGCATCCTATTTCTAGATACTTTACGTTTCTAGGCTAAATCTTTCCCAGTTCAACTATTCTTCTGAAAGACACTCAAGCATTCTAAAAACTCAAAGACCAGGAAAACTTGTTTCTAGAGATGTGGTCTCACCAGAGCAGCCCTCCTATAGCCTCGGTGCTGGACACTTGCTCTGTGACACTGAGGTATCCTGACTGTTTCGCATTCTGGTCACATTGCTGCATGCATGTGGAGCTTTTAGTCAACTAAAGCCTTTAATGCTGTGTGGATACTGTTTTGTCTTACTTTGTTTTAATAAACCACATAGCTGTTCTATGTATGTGAAGTTGATATTTTTTAACCGTAGGACTTTGCATTCATCTCTGTTCTATTTCAGCATATTTGTTTTGGCCCATTCTTCCAGCCTCCTTCCTTGAAAGTTAATTATGTTTGATTAACATGATCTGAATGTGTCTATTTCCAAGCGCCAAAGTGAAGTGTTCATTAGCCCTTTAGTGAGATGCACAAATTACTCCACCAAACAGTAAGAAACCAATTTGGACGCTTGGGAATAATTTAACTCAAGTCCAAGATACATCTATGCCATTTTCCTGGTATTATTGCCACCTAAACAATTTATATTAAGGAAAGCAAGCAAGGAATCAGTGTGCTAAAGAAAGAAGTAAGGAATCATGTAGTGAGAGTTTCCCATATGACTTTCCGTGAACTTGAATCACTCAAACATCTACACTTCCTTTGTAGAAGCCCACTGTGAGATGGCAATGTTGATCCTTAATGTCTTCTTTCCACCCTTTAAAGTCTTGATCGCCATATACTGATTTATTTCATTCCAATATCCCAAGCCTTACTGTATTATTTATTATAATCCTCATCAAAATTAAATCTACAAGAAATGGGATTTCTGTTTGGAGGACAGACTGGAGAAAGGCACTGCCTCCAATTAGCACTACTGTCCAAATAGCTACCTCCATCCTCACCTGGGCTTAGCTCAGGCCAGGGCCTGCTTCCCTCCACCTGTGTGTCACAACATATATTGATCATATATCAGCTATCAGCACACCTAAGAACAAGTCGAGTGAAGTCCCATCCAGATGTGGCATGACCCACAAATGCTTTCTGTTCTGCAAGTACACAGGACAGCCTTGTATTTTAAAACTTAGGAGCCATGTGCCTCCAAAATTTGCATCTCAGTTATAACCTATGATACCCTATGTCTGAAAGTAGAAGATGCAACCTTTTACTTGGCAGGTTCATTTCCTTCAATAAATTACATAATCTAAAGAACAGTGGTCCTTTCTGTTCTTGTTAATTTTCTATTGTTTTCTTCTGAAATATGGAATAAGAGAGATTAAAGAAAACATTTAGGAGTTGGAACCTATCAAATATCTTCGAGTTCAGAAATACACATGAGCCTACTTCACATTGAAAGCGAGCTATGTGTGTGAGCAGACTTGTGTGTGAGTATGTTTTCAAGTATACATATTTGGACAGGGAAAGACAGAGGATAGGAGCTCTGGACACCCAAACAATAAAGACAAAAGGCTGCTTCCCCTTCTGTCAGGAACAGATGAGATGGTGGCACCAAGCATCTCACGTTCAAATTCTGCAGCTTCCAAAAGTGTTCACCATGCTGACTTTTCCCCCTTTGCTAATATTAATTATGATAGCACTTAGCATTTCTAAAACACTTTTCATCTTCAAAGCACTATATGAACATTACCTAATTAACTGACATTAACTAATTATAATTAAACTTGCCCTGGGCTCACAATTCAGAAGAACTTTAGGAAGGGGTGGGGAAGGAAGAAGAAAAGCTTTCTAGCTAGACAGGTTTTCCAAGTTTTCTCAGAGGAAATTTTGATTCAAATTGTCACAGATTTTGAAACAATCCTTGAGATGACCTTAATAGGCCTTCCTTGCTTCCCAATGTTTAAATATTAATGAGAATGGTAGTAAATAGTCTCCAGAAAAGAAAATGGTCATTCTTACACCAACTTGTAATAATAAAAGAGTTTAAATGCCAATGAAAAGGTGCTTCTCTGAAGCAACATGCTCTAAAATATTGAGCAAAAGAGATTTCCTGGAGCAACTTCCCACTTCACACACACACACACACACACACACACACACACACACACACACACTGCTGAGTGGCGTCAGAGTTCTGACTTCCAAGCTTTAAGTGCAGTGAGCTCAGTGTCCTAACTCACAAGCCTGTTTCAGACATTTTAATGTATCTATTGAATTTCCTTTTTATTAACCTTAGCAAAAACTTTCAGTAATATTATAACCCAAGATCAAATAAAGCATCTTGTTTCCATAATTCCTAGACAGAAAAGCCATATAATCAAATGAGTCTATTTGGATGCTTATTTTCTGTACATTACACTTATCTAAATTTATACTTGAGCGGGTGGGGAGATAGGGTTTAAGGCCTCTTAAAACTTCTCTCTCGTTTCATTCTAGAAATGTCTAAATGAAATATGTAGCTATGCTTGACTGGAAGCCACCTCTAAGACTTTGTTCTAGTCAGAACATGCTCAGACTGTTCTCCAGTATTTAGTAACACACAAGTTCAGGATTGTATCAAAAATAATGTTCCTCTTTATATAAACTTCTCTTAAAATGTCAGTGTTTAGTAGGGTGGCTGTGAAAAATGTGGCAATAATGGCATAATTTATCTTCTTTTTTTTTTTTAATTCACACTGCTTGTCTTGGTGAAATTATTCTATTTCTATCAGCACAGCAAACCTCAAAATGTTATAGAGAAATCATCACAGCATGCCTGCATCCCTATAGGTTTTTCTGGCTTTAAAGTCCTCTCAGCTCAAAATGGATGTGATCTTCACTCCTTGGAGTGTCTAGGGGAGACGGACCCAGATCAGCTGACATTGGTTACTCTCAGAAGCTGGTTATCGATCAGTTAAGATGACGCATGCCGTTTATCTCTGCTGAATTTGATCTTTTTATTGCTCTCCTCCAACCTCTATGTAATGAGAGCCTGCAGGCCAGTGCTTGGCAGACCTTTATGCACTGAAGTCATTTCCACCTTCTTATTACACATGTGCCTCCATGTGAAGATACAC